CCACACAGAGAAAAAAAAGTTGGACTATAGGAAACTTTAGTTTTTCTTTTTATTTTTTATTAATTACATTTTTTAGTTGTTGTTCAAGTACAGTTATCTCCACTTTCCCCCCACCGCTATCCCCTTTCCACCCCAAGGGTGGGAAATGGGAATAGCCATCCCCATTTCCCACCCTTGATCCTACCCTCCTTGGCTTTGTCCATGAGTCCTTTATACATGTTCCTGAACTTGGCCTCTGCGTGGGTGACTGTGTGATGTGGGGGAAAGTCACATAACGTTTCTAATGATTTGTTCTTAGGTCCTCAGGATTCCGATTTTTGGAGGGAGAAAATGGTAAAAATCTTTTTAAAAATTTACCTATATTTATGGGTAATTAAATACAATCTACGTAATCTACCCAAATCTGATTCAGCTGCCTTCCTTTGTGTTTCCTCTGCCCCCTTTCATATCTTTTGACTCTACAGACTTCCCAGGGTCTTCAAGCACAGGGAGGAAGAAAGTGGGTCTGACAACTACTGACAACATTTTAGCATGAATTTATTAAAAACATTTGCATTTTCTTTTAAAAGATCTGTTGAATAAGGGTCCCTAAGTAATACATCTTTTTTTGTGGTGAAATTTTAGAAATGACTTTTGAAACAGTCCAGAGAGCCTTTGAAATGGCACAATGGCATTGATTCTCCTGTCTACCTGACAGGATGTTTGGACAGTGGTCTCATCGGTGGTTCTTTGAGGCACATGCACATTTACTGGAAAAGTGTGCTTTATTTCATATTAAAATGCATGTGTCAATATTAACACTTTCAACTTGTGATAGCCACTTCTACTACCTTGCCACTTTTATGAAATGGATCCCTAAAACTTATGCATTCAGATTAATACGCCTTTAATCTTACCGCCAAATATTTAACATTTAGTTATCATTTATTTTGTGTAGCATTGTACAATAAACCACATTCTAAAGGTATAAAGCTGTGTTTGGTTTTTATAAACTAATGATTTCAGTGGAGAAATACTCTCATAAGTATTGATAGAGATGTTGAATTTCATTCATTTCAAAGTGACAGGTTTATTACTTTGACATCATATATTCATTAAGTCTCTGAAAGAATTTAAATAAGACATATGCTGTTTCCAACTTGGCAACAGGCCAGTTTACTTTCCCTTCATTATCAAAAGGTCATAGTAGGTAGTCCATTTTTACTGTCTTGAGATTTGTTTTGCCAATCATCTATTGGGGCTTCCCTTGTTGTGAAGAATTTAAAGTTAATCTTATTTTATAGTCACATATTCGCTATAAAAATTTGGTCTGCATTTTTGTTTTTGTTTTGTTTTGCAAGAATCTCTTTCAGTTTAAAGTATTTTTCTCACAGACATGCTGTTTTCCTCATTTTGTTGAGGTATTACATACACCGAGATAAACAAGTCTCTCATGTAGACTACAATGAATTTTTATACATGTGTTTACACATCTCTGTAACTGCCAGTCAGGTAAAATTATAGAACATTTACAGAACCCAAAATTTGGCCCCCACTTGATGCCCCACTAAGGTACCAGTACACTGACATTGATTAGTTGTTTAATCTCTTGAACTTCATAAAAAGAGAATTTTGTAGTAAGTGGTCTTTTTTTGGACTGGCATTTCTTCTATTTAATGTTCTATCTTTGAGATTTATTCAGGTTGTTACATGTATCAGTAGTTCATTCTTTTTTATTGCTATGCAGTTTTTCATTGTATATATTCAAATTTATTTATTTTTTCTCTTGTCAGTGAACACTTGGGTTGTTCCCAGTTTTAGGCTATTATGAGTAATGCTGCAATGAATATTCTCTTTTAAAAGGGCCATTTACACCCATGTTTTTACTTATTTCTCTTGGGTCATTGAGTTTCTAGATCATAGGGTTCAGGTATATTTAGCTTTAATAAATGCTGCCAAACAGTTTTCTAAAGTGGTTGTACTATTTCCACTCCCACAAGCGATGCAGGAGAGTTCTCTTTGTTCTGCCCCTTCCTCAACACTTAGTGCTGTCTGGTCTTTAAGTTTTAGCTATTTAGTTGTATCTCAGTGTGGTTTTGCTTTGCATTTCCCTGACTACTAACGATGCTGAGCTCCCTCTAATATGCTTGTTGACAATTTGGATAGTCTGTTTTGTGAAGTGCTTAAGTGTTTTCTTTTTTGTTGTTGTTGCACATTTTCAAAATAGGGTTTCAGTCTTTTTCTTACCAATCAGTGAGGATTCTTTGTATATTCTGGATATACTTTATTGGATGTTGCAAGAGTATGATTCCTAGTTGTGGCTTGCCATTTTGCTCTTTTAATATTGTCTTTTGATTAATAAAGATTTTAATTTTAATGAAGTCCAGTTTATCAGTCTTTTATAATTGGTGCTTTCTGTGTCCCTTTTAAGAAATCTTTGCTACCCCAAGTTCATGAAGATTTTATGTTTTCCTTAATCCTTTATTGTTTTACCTTTCAAATTTAGGTCTAAGATCATGTCTAATCAATTTCTGTGCATGGCATGAGGTAAAGGTCAATGTTCAGTGTTTTTCTTTTTTTTTAAGATTTTATTTATTTTTAGAGAGAGGGGAAGGGAAGGAGAAAGAGAAGGAAAGAAACATCAGTGTGTGGTTGCCTCTCACATGCCTCCTACTGGGGACTTGGCCTGCAACCCAAGCTTGTTCTCTGAGTGGGAATCGAACCAGTGACCCTGTGGTTCACAGTCCGGCAGTCAATCCACTGAGTCACACCAGCCAGAGCAATTCAGTGTTTTTTCATATGGAGATCCAATTGAGCCAGAACCATTTATTGAAAAGATAATCCTTTTCCCATTGTATATTACTGGACTTTTTATGGCAAATAAATGTTGCATGGGTCTGTTTTTAGACTCTTTGTTTCATTGGTCTGTTTATCTATACGGGCACCAACAAACACAATATTATAAAAATTCCTGATATCTGACTGTGTAAGTTTTCTAGCTTATTTTTCTTGGATTTTGCCTTAGCTACTTTACTTTTTTAGTAGTTCTGTATAAATTTGAGAATCAGCTTCTCAGTTCACACACATGCACACACACCCACACCCTGTTGGGATTTTATTTGGTATTGCATTGAATATGGAAATAAGTTGACAATTGACATCTTAATACTGAATCTTCCAATCTAAATACTTGGTTAATCTCTTCAATTGTTTAGGGATTTAATGTCTCTCAACAACATTTTCTAGTTTTTGGTGCAGAGATCTTGATGAGATACTTGGTTTTTGTAAAAACTACTATAAATTCAGATTAAAAAACTGGTAATGTTTACAAAATGTCCAATTATACTATTGTATAGGACCTGTAGTTATGTTTAGATCTCTGAAGTAGGAATTTCCAATGTAGCTAAGTAATCTCCAAAATTATTCTGTGCTATAATTTTATTTATGTGTATTGAAGCTTCTGAGTAAGTGGTAGCACTATTTAGAATCTAATTTATTCTTTTGATTAAATACATTAAGATGATGCCCTGTCAGTGCCCCTGAACTCTGTGAGGCATTTGTTAAAGAAAGGGCTCAGGAGCTCTACAGTTGAACTGGTGAGTTAGGCATTTCCACATTCCACAGAGCAGGAGATCAAGTTTGTTTTAAGCGGTTTTATCTCCCTTCTGTATTAAAAACTTCTGGGTCATTAAACTCAAACATGAATTTTAGCTGTGAAGAATTAAGGTTAGGATTGCATGATGCCAAAATACTTACTAAATTTAGTTTAAGAAGATCTCTCTAATTGTACAGTTACCTTGGCATATTCTTAAAATTGGCTGCAATTTTGTCTGAATTATGAATTGACTATTACTTTCCCAGAGTTTAGCCTGACTTAGATTTAAATATAACCAGATAATAAAAAGTAAGTGTGTGCATGTACATTACTATATGAGTGTGTTGTGGTAGTATTGAATATGTAAATTTGCTTTCAATGGAGACAAACTATATCTTTTATTTCTTTGAATATAATTAAATGTATTTAATGTCTCAGCAACATTTTAGATTTAGACTTAGCAAAATTAAAGATTTCAATTTTAATGAAGTCCAATTTATCAATCTTTGCATTAGCTCTTAATTATAATACTTTCTTCATCTTTTTCTCATTTTTTTCACTATAGGCCACTTTCGTATATGAGAGGTCTTCACTTTTTAATTTTATTTTAACAACATCTATCTATGTTGCTGCCTTAGTTTAGGAATACCTTGTTGGTATTAGGTGGTGCCTTCAACATCGTTTATGTCACGCAGTTAGGAGGGTGGGAAATTCAAGATTCAGGGTGCTAGGGTGACAAAGTTCTGATGAGGGCACTTTTCCTGGTTCTCAACATGGCAGAGAGGGAGAAAGAGCTCCTGTCTGTCCATTCCCTTATAAATAAGGACACCAGTCCCATTATGGGGCCCTCACCCCTGTGACCTCGTCCAAAACTAATTACCCCCTAAGGCACCACCTCCAAATACCATCACATTATGCATTAAATCTTCAACATATGAATTTTGGAGGCAATTTAATCAGTTCATATCAGTTACCTTCTACTTTAAAGTTTAACGTCACCTGATACCAAAATCTGGATTAAAGTTATGTTGAAATATAGTAGTGGTTCACTTGTTTTAATATTGGAATATGCTTTGAATATGAGAATTTAATGATGATAAAGCTAACTAATTTTCTAATGTCAAGTATATAGCAACAATTGGAATGTTATAACAATAATAGTAAATAGTAATAATAGCTAACACTAACAAGAATTTACTGTATACCAGGTACTGTTCTGAGCACTTCACATGCATAAATAACTATATGTAATCTTTGCAAACACACTATTAGGTAGGTAATTTTCTTATCCTCATTTTACAGAATTTTAATAAAATTATTTAAGTTATTTCAATTTTTAAGTTTCTAATTATATTGTTTGCTTCAAATTTATTTGAAAAAATTGATAGGAAATGTAATGAAGTCCTCAATACTTTATTTTAAATAGAAAAACAATGTGCTATCCTGAGGACAGAGGGACATCAGTTTAGACAAGACAATAGAGATGAACTGGAAGTTTCAGGTAAGCATTATAATCCTTTACAAAGGAGCACTATATGTAAAATTATCACCAAACATGTAATATATTATGGGTAATTCCTTGACATTGTAATTTAAGATGATGACATCAATATAAAAGATTAAAAGCAAAGAATATGGATGATGTAGAAAATATGCTGAAAACAGAGTTTTTTGTTGTTTGAAGACCAACAACTCAACCTCTTGTAGAAAAAAATGTTATTTAAAATTATCAAAGTTTTATACATTGTAGGAATTTTGTAAAAAGAAAATTTATGAGAAAGACCTCACTACATTTCCCCACATCAATATATATATAGATGTATATATATATGTATATGTATATATGTATATATATGTATATATATGTATGGTGTATATGTATATATATTGATATATATATATATTGATATATAAATATTTAAATTATTTATTTATTTTTAGAGAGGGAAGGGAGGGAGAAGGAGAGAGAGAGATAGAGAGAGAGAGAGAGAAACATCAATGTGTGCGGTTGCTGGGGGCCATGGCCTGAAACCTAGGCATGTGCCCTGACTGGGAATCGAACCTGCGATGCCTGGTTCACAGCTCGAGCTCAATCCACTGAGCTACGCCAGCCAGGGCTATTTTTCTAAAGCATGATTTTTTTAAAGGCTGCTTAGATTTCAGTTGAATGGCAGTGATATTTTTTACTTAATGAAATTTTTGTCTTTAGTTACCAGAGCTGCTACAATGAAGTACTCTGATTATTTCCTTAGGATAATTCCCTAGGTCAAAGCAAATTAATATATAAGTCTTTTGAACATACGTTATCCTTCTACATCCTAAGAGGAGACAAATGAAATAGAGAAATCCTGCTGATCTAAAACAGTAGAACTTTAGTTGAAATAAATCAGTGCATAGATATGGACAACAAAAATTATTATTTTTTTTTTGAGTGAACAAATGTTTTATTGGCATGTTCATTGTTGTAAACAGCAACTGGCATGAAAGAGTTTTACCAAAGCCTTTTTATTGATTTTTATAAATCAGATGGCATTTTCAAAATTTATGTATCATTGTGTTCCCTGGATAATTGTATTTAGCAAAGCAAAAACTTGCTGACTCTAATACACTTTGCAATGAAATCATGTTGATTGTATCAGCCTGTGCTATGACCTGACTTACTATCAAGTTTATTCGACACAATGGTAAAAAGCTTCCCCAAAGTTAAACTATGTGAAAATACAAATCAACTCCAAAAATTGAAGTGGGACTTACAGGTATTCTATAAGATTCATACTTGAAGCATGTTTTCAAAAGTAATTACAAAAATACATAAAATTGAAGCCACTGAACAGAAAATCCTCATTAACAAGGGTGAATACAATCGTACGGAACTCAGCACTGAGGAATACATTTACATAGACTGCTGTACTTCTCAGTGTACAAAATGTACATCATGAATGATATGTGAAAAGAACAACATGGGAAATAGCTGAACTGAAATTAAGATAACGCAGTAGGATCAATTTTATTTATGTGCTGAAGGAAGGAGTGAAACACATTCTCTACATCTATAACTTGAGTACTATTGTAATTACAATATTCAGCAATTTGAGCTGCCATCAGCTGGGAGTGGTCTAAGGGAAACATTTTGATGTTCCAAAATAATGTTCTTTATACTTCACAAAAAAATGAAACAAAAAACCCCACAACCTCACAATTCTTTATTGGGGTACTGCTGGTTCTAAGAATGTTTCTCTTGAAAAAATCTTATTTAAATTTAATATCTTTGTGAGTTTACTAAATTTAATAAAATTGGTGGATTAAATTGTCACGTTTTACAGGGTTTGATCTAGGAGAGAGCTTTTCTTTGCGACGTGCATTTTGTGAAGGTGATAGAACCTGTTTCAGACTGGGAAGTGCACTTCTTATTAGAGATACTGTGTAAGTAAAATAATTTTTCTTTTTATTGTAATACCACATTAGCTATTTTCTAAGGAGAGTACAAATAATTTGTTAAAAAATAAAACATCTCAGTGCTGTCATACTCACTTGAATGGTGTGGTAAATGTGGTAAATTAAAAATATAAATTTGTTGTTTTCAATAATCTTTGCAATCTGGTCTTGTTCTGTGGTGCAAACAACATTTACATGTACAGACAGAGGCATAGTCTTTAGAAAATAGTAATTTTATTTTTTGGAGAAATATTTTTATTTAACATAGACATGACCAAAATTAGATTTTAAAATATAAATTTTAAAACACAGGTACAGGTGAGATCATATGGTATTTGTCTTTCACTGCCTGGCTTATTTTGCTTAGCATAATGCTGTCCAGCTCCATCCATGCTGTTGCAAAGCGTAAGAGCTCCTTCATTCTCTCTGCTGCATAGAATTCCATTGTGTAAATTTACCACAGTTTTTTGATCCATTCATTTACTGATGGGCGTCTAGGTTGCTTCCAGCACATAGCTATTGTAAATTGTGCTGCTATGAACATTGGGGTGCATAGGTTCTTTTTGGATTGTTGTTTCAGGGTTCTAAGGATATAGTCCCAGCAGTGGAATTGCAGGGTCAAAAGGCAGATCCATTTGTAGTTTTCTGAGGAAGTTCCATACTGCTTTCCATAGTGGTTGTACCAGTCTGCAGTCCCACCAACAGTGCACTAGGGTCCCCTTTTCTCCACAACCTCTCTAACACTTGTTGTTTGTTGCTTTGTTTATGATGGCCATTCTGACTGGTGTGAAGTGGTATCTTATTGTGGTTTTAATTTGCATCTCTCTGATGGCTAGCGATATTAACAGGAACCTAAAGAACAAAACTAAGAAACAAGCAAAATATAGTCAAAGACACTGAAATAGAGGACAGGCTGACAGTGACCAGAGGGGAGAGGGGAGGGAATTTCATGGGAGAATGGGAAGGGTTTACAGGAACAAATATAAAGGACACATGGACAAAAACTGGGGGCAGGTGGAAATGGGAGGGAGGTGGGGAGGGATGGGTGGGTGGGCTGGAATGGGAGTAAAGGACAGAAAGCTGTACTTGAACGATGATTAAAATAAAATAAAAAAAATAGGTACAATGTAGACTTAGAGACAAAAAACTTATATTTGTTATACTGATTTCTACATGCTTTATGCATGCAGATAAGTTTCATGATAAATTAAAATAAAAGAACATAGCCCTTAGGCATTCATTCTATATATTGTATAGAGTAAATAGTAAAGAAAAACTCTTTTTCAGTTTTATTTTGATCTTGATATTCATTTTATTTCAAAATGGTTTTACCAAAAATTTCCTTTGTTATCTTTATTATTATTTTTCTGTTGATAAATCTTGGATTTATAAAAAGACTCATTTGCCATTGAAATACTGACAATTGGTTCCAGCTATTCAAGGTAATAATTACTCATGTGGTTGGCTATATGTAACTGAGGGCGGATAAATAGTTACTCAGAAAGCTTAAGTCACCGGGCAGGCAAATATAGCATATATGGTCATGATATTTACAGCCTTTTGGGTCCAAGATGAACATTTTAGTGTATGAATACACCGCAATGAAAAAACATCAAAATTCTGTTTGGTTTAAAATGCAGCACAGCTGTTCTTGTGTGAAAGCTTATATGAACATTTCACTTCCTAGTGGATAGCTTAATATTTAAGTTACCAGAGGGGGTTGTTGAAGATCTCAGTATTTAAATTCTCAAAGGGAAATAGCATTAGTCATCTCATTGCCTATCCTCACATGCTCCATGTAGATCGTATTTCGAACTTACTTTTTCCTTGAGAAAGTTTCTTTTAGATCTTCTGTTTTGTGATACTTTCAATACTTTTAGTTTAATGATATGGTTCCTTACAAGTAAACTGCTTATTAATTGGTAAAAAAGAAGAGTGTAAAGGAAGAGAGTAATTTGATATTGGGAATATAATGGGTGACTGTCACATGGGGAACTTCAGCAAATGTAACCACAGACTTGTGCTGTTTCGTGGCGGGGGGGTGGGGGATGATTTTAGGTGGCTTCACGTGTAGGCATTAAACCCTCAGGACAAGACAGTTTCATGAGTCGGTATTCAGATGCAGTAAAATCAATATGTATCTCATATAGATAGATAGATAGATAGATTGATGATAGATAGATTCTGTCCAGAAGGTATCCAGCCATGTAATATGAAAAAGAGACATTTATTGAAGAAGATACAAGAAACATTGTATGCAAGACAATAATGCCTCAGTCCCCTTCAAAATAGGCACCTTGGGACCTCCCAATTGCAGTCTGTTACGCCATCATATTTTTCTGAATCTCATCGACGGTCTGAGATCTCTTCCCTTTCAAAAGTGATTTTAGTTTTGGGAAAAGCCAGAAATCACAGGGTGCCAAATCTGGGCTATAGCGGGGATGAGTCACCTGGGTGATTGGATGTTTTGCCAAAAGACTCTGCATGAGACGTGGTTCATGAGCAAATACGTTGTTGTGATGAAGCTGCCCATCACCAGTTGCCCATGGCTGTGGACTTCTGAATCATCTTAACAATTTCTGCAGAGGAATGTATAAACTCAGTGCAAAATTTGATGCAGATTCATTGCTCTACTAGCTCAGTCATTTTTAATACAACAGCCACACAGTACACATGCTCACTCAGTGGTGTCTACCACCCCCACTGACTAGTACAGTGAAGTCATCATTGCTCATGCATGCACATTCCAGTCCACTTTCCTTGGCTGTCAGGTTACATTGATATTGCACAAACCATTTTCATTATATTAACAATGATTGGACTTTTTCTGGACAGACCTTGTATATTAGTTTAGATGTTTCTTAACTATTAGTAGATAAATTTAGTAAATTAATTTACGAAAGTCAAATTCTTTTCCAAAAATTGAGGTTCTCTTTCCCACTGCGTTCTTGATGATTTAAACCCTGTAATTCTGGCTTGAGAATTAAAGGATTAAAGGATTAGAGTGAAAACCTTCTAAAATTCATCAGGCCTGTGCATAGGAAGACTTAGCTAATTTTAAGCATTATATTGGAAAACTTGGTGCCACATTTAGACAATGATATTCTCCTTTGAATAGGTGTGATAATAAATATTAGGTATAACATGACATTTACTTCCTGACTCCTGGCTCTGAATCACTGTGTTCCCCGGGTGATCAGTGTAAGTGAACTCTCTGACTCTGCACATTGGAACCCTGGTGCTTCCACTACAGGAAACTGGAGGGTATCTGGTTAAGCTGACTAACAAGTGTCAAGTAGTTTGTCACGTTTCCACTTAATTTCACTCATTGAGTCAAGTTTACTAGGATGCTTCTCTTACATGATGCCATTTTGATTTTTCTTTTCTTTTTTCAATTTTATTTGTTTATTTTCAGAGAGAGGGGAAAGGGGAGAGGAAGAGAGGGAGAGAAACATCGTTACCTTTCACATGCCCCAACTCAGGTCCTGGCCCACAACCCAGGCATGTACCCTGACAGGGAATCAAACTGGTAACCTTTTAGTTAGCAGGCCGGTGCTCACTCCATTGAGCCACATCAGCCAGGACACTATTTTGATTTTTCAATGAGACTGGAGTAAAGTTGCAGCTATTTATATATTTGTAAATAAGCTGCTTTGAAGAATTAGCATGGGAAGAGGCAGGTGCTATCTTGTATGAAAAATAGGGATTCTTTCTGTGTCTGAGCTTGTTTTTATTGTTCTGACATCTTCCAGGTGAATAGAGAGATCTAGTAAGTGTGTTGGTCAGATACCTACCTATTGGATAACACTTAGTACCTTAAGCCTGGCTTAATGTGCGGATCCCAAAGGCGCTCTTGCAAGGGCCTTCCAAATAAATGTTATCGTACACTTCAAAGTGACACGGGCTTCAGAGTGGCTGAAGGGCTTTATATGCTTGGCTTTATTTTAAATTCACGTCTATTTTTTCAGTATTCCTTGGAATAGCAAATGATATATATTAGGGCACTTTAAAGATTCTGCATGGCATGTTACCTAGTTTTCTAGCATTATCTTTTAAGGAAAGAGTTACTTGGCTTCCGTATCTACAAGTATCCCTTGTTATGTGAAAGAAATAATTCATTATTTCTATACATATTGAGAGAGAGTTATATCATAGGTTATCATATTCTGATTATCTTTAAATTGTGTTTTAGCAATTATCAGGGAAAAATGGTGAAGTTTCCAGAAAAAAATATACATAAAATGTGTATACTATGAAGCACATTGTTTTCTTAGTATATATAGTGCTTACAGTTCATTAGATGCTTCTATAGAAATGTGTGAATTTCTGATTTATTATTGAAATCAAGGATGGTAAAGAGCCTTATCTCTCAGGTTCTATGATTTATACCCAGTGGCTAACTGGAGTACAGTGCTGAGAAAGATTCTCAGCCCATTTTGTGTTCAGCAGATGAGAGTGCTGTGACCCATTAGCAAAAAGAGGGGAGAAGGGAATGCTCATATGCGTGTCAAGTCTATAGCATCTCTGATTTAGGATGATTCCTGTGATCTGGTGCTTTTGCAGCTGAAACGGTTCCTCAGAATGGGGAAAATGAGGCTAGATGTGAAAAAATAATCAATCTGCTACAAATAAATCTCCAGTGAAGAGGAAAGTTTCTCTTTGTCTTCCATTAAATTGGAGGTTGCTTTCTGGAAGCAGGAACTATTTAATTTCACAGCTTTACATGGGGAAAAAAGAGCTGGTAAAAGATAGCCTCATTTGCACTTTAAATTTTTTATAAACATAATAATCCTCAGCAATTAGGAAACCCTAAATTATGTATTTGGAAGATGTGTAGTGTTTTGAGGGAATTATTCAAGTTTTCTGGACCTTAACAATTCCCTTGGAAGCTCCCACACGTGGGGAAAACCGTTACGTGTACTGAAGTCTGACCGGTGCCTCGCCTTTGCTGCTGTTGGATGACCCACCCCAAGGGCATGTCTTTTCCA